TGACTTTTCATCGTAAGATTCCGAACTTCGTTCCGAACTTCGCAAATTCGTTGCCAAGTTCAAAAGTTCATAATGAAATTCACAAACAGGTTTGTAAAATGGGCATTTGATTGGCTCGTTTGATTTAATAGCCAATCAGAGGCTTTGTTTACAAACCTATTTGTGAATTTAATTATGAACTTTTGAACTTGGCAACGAATTTGCGAAGTTCGGAACGAAGTTCGGAATCTTACGATGAAAAGTCAGCTGAAATTGACTGTAATAGGAATAGGATGTAGACTGAAAAGAAGCAAGCGATGTCTGACTTTCAGTTTAATTTATGTAGATCCAAAACACCAAAATATTATTAATGACTGGAAAGTTTGGAAATTGCGCTCCGGAGATTTCGAAAATTTAATAGTGAATATTTATAAAATAACCTTTTAATAACGCCTGCGCTGATTGGTTGAAAAGCGAAAAATCCCGTGTTTCTATAACGCTATAGAACAATGGAATTTTCCACGAAGCTCAAAACAACACACTAAAACAAACGTTTTCGCCTGAAATATCGATTAAAAATCTTCGTCAACCTGAAATTTTGTTAAACAAGCAATATGGAAAACACTTACTAAACGTTTTTTCGCTTTAAATTTTCTTTAAATCAACTTTTTCAGCGTGTTTTTTTCCATAATTTTGCAGTCGGTAAAACTGAAAATTGATGCCGGTATTGTTGCTAGGCAACATATATTTTCTTGTTATTGTGTAATGAGAATATACTTTTTAATCGCGTTAAGAATATTGTTTTTGTGTTATTATCACAAGGTTATTTAATAAAGGAAATAGAAAACATTTTTTCTTGTGTTTCTATAGAGTTATAGAAACACTTGTGCTAGTTTGGGAGAACTCGAAATAACGTGAAAACACTCGCACTACGTGCTCGTGTTCCCAATGATTATTTCTCGTTCTCCCAAACTAGCACGCGTGTTTCTATTTAACAATTAGTCGCCGAAGGCGAGGTGATTACAAGCCTATATTCACTGAGCCGAAGGCGAAGTGAATATAGGCTTGTAATCACCGAGCCTGAGGTGACTAATTGTTTTAGTATAAATTTCCAGGTGTTTACAAACAATAATCCACACAACTTTATAAAAATTCACTTCAAATAAATTTATTTTCACTATAAATAGTTTGTTTACAAAATTTAAATCTCAGACACGGCTCTGTCGCGTTGCGACTAAGCCAGTTTTTTTCCAAATAAAAGCACGTAAAGTTTAATATTTTACCTTGAAATATTTTTAAACCATATTTTGTAGCTTGTTTGGGTTTTTCGGAATGCTATCTTCTTTAATTTTGGCAATTTCCTCCTCTGTTACTACGGCAAAACGAGCAGCCATTTTGAAAAAAAAGCTATAGTCACTGACCAGTGACTATCACTTCAGAGACAGTGAATCTTGACCAATCAGAATGCAGAAAAATCAATAGTCACCTGGAAATTTATACTAAAACTCTATAGAAACACGGAAAATGTTTTCTATTCTTAAATAGAAAGCATCAAAATTTGCGCCCCCGATATCTCCGCGCGATACAAACTTTAAGTATATAAAATTATGTACAAATTATCTACTTCCCTCCTGGATAACACAACAGTGTAACGTCGTGATAAATTTTAGTGAATTCTTAATATCTGAAACCACTGCCAGCAGGGTACGCACAAACAAAACCTCGATTGAATTTACTTTTAGTCTATAATAATAGAATCCCTACCCACGTATATAGATTATAGGCAAGTATAATGTATACCATTTTTATCAGGCGGGATAACGCTTGTCCAGTGTGTCGTATTCGGGCAGAGGATAACCAAATAACTCGTGATCTGTTTTATAAACAGCCAATAGTTGATCAAAATACTTTCTGGAAAGTTCTTTTAGGAAATCTGCTGTTGCTTGTTTTGTTTTGGTTCGCGCAGCTCTGTTGTGTCTCACATGAAGCTTGGTTTCATTTGCATGTATTTGTCTCATAACATGGGTCACATCTCGGCTTAGATTGTCGATAGAGCCGATGAAGTCATATTTCACATTACAAGGCCTGCATAGGTCTTCATATGGCATAAAATGCATGTCAAACATCCAAGGCGGATTGTTAATCAAATGTAATGCGAACTCCGTGAAACTCACATTACGTCCAGCTATAATTGTTTTTGTATTATTTCTATTCGGTTTTGTTAGGGATGAAAAAATTTGGTGATTCATACGTCTGAATTTATGTAGGAACGCAGACACGAGCCGTTCGAAAGGATCGCGTACAATCATGAACTTGTAGAAATTCTTAAGCATATACTGCCGTTGTTCTTCAGTGAACTTTTGATTATTCAAAAGCACTAATTGAAGATCCAGCTGAGTGTGGATTTCAGTAATACTTTGATACAATCCTTCCAAAACCAGGAATATCCTCTTCATGTTGGTGGAGCTAACTTTAGGTATATAGCAATAAATAACTTTGTATTTTTCGCTCACAACCAAATGCCGAAGCACGTTGTTTCTTTGCCATGCCCTTTCTCTGTCTCTTCGATCAGTTGGCGGTTCCAAAAAATTGATTACGTTACGTTTTCGGCAAACTCTATTGATCGACTCCATCCTCTTCTTGCTATCCTTTTCCGCCTGCAAAAAGAGATTTAATGGCATTATATTCGAGGTTATATTATTTTTTCATGCATGACTATGATTACTATCCATGTATCATTATCTTGTATTCATATTCCAAGTATTCTGTATTCATATATCAAATAGAAAACATCATGCACATACTACGAGGTCTTCTTCTCTCAACACTTGAGTGTATAATGATAATCACGAAAGAACAATACATGTGATATTTTTATTCTATTTCAAAATCAATATTGAACCCGCTGTTTAGATTTCGGTGGGCAACCAATGGGCAATTAAAATCATGTTAAACTGACATTTTTAATTAAAACAAAGTTAGAAAGAAAGCAACACTATAGACTATAGTGCGAGTCAATCCATGGCCAGAAATCACGGACATTTTCATTTCTTAGGTTTCACGTTACCACGCGCAACAATGGCTGACCAATGCCCTATCTTTGTTATTAGGCAAGCAGAGTATTTTCAATATAGCATGCTATATATAAATCTTGGAATATTTGCCGAAATTGGTTCCAGAAGTAGCGGTCGTATTGTAACACATTAAAAAAAATTTTCTCATTATTTTGTATACACGCTCTGCTTTTTGCGATTGAATATTAAAACATTTTACCTCACTTTACATAGGAATCTATAATCACTATAAAGTTTTCTCGCTCAAACGCCCTAGCTCTTATTAAATGGTAAACCACTGATGACGAAGAAGGGAAATTGTTTTAAAAGGCTGCATCTTTACCTCCACATCCAGAGGACTCTGCGTAGTTGCGTGTGGCACAACCTCCTTTTCATTCGACGTAGTGTGAACGATAGTTTCTTTACCAATTTCTGATTGTGTTGACTTTGAGTCTTCGCATCTAACTGCCATGCCATTTTCCGTCTTTGCTGTTTTAACTAGACAAGATTGAAGCAGTACATTTTACTTGGTAATTATCGTAAATTCTCAATTTAGCCCCACTCCCCGAAGCCATATTTATTTCACGCACACTTGGCGGGCTTCTATGGAGACGGACAATTGCTATTTCCAGTGGCGTAGGAAGTTTCTAAAAGTTGGGGGGGGGGGCAGCCAGGCTTCGAGGAGCACTTTTCGAATAAAAAAGGGCACCTAAAAATTTTTCCCGGAAATGTTGGCGACGAGGGTGGGAGGTCATCTCAAAAAAGTTTCCTGACATACCAAAAAATTTTCCGGACATCATATTTTTTCCAGAAAATGGCAAACATTTTCCGGACGTACCAACAATTTTTCCGGAGATGTCATATTTTTGCGGCAGCAAAATTTTTCGGACATATCATAATTTTACCCGAATATAACAGAATTTTTCAGGAAATATCAAAATGCAAAAACAAACACAATCATAAATCAAAGGCCATTGGGCAAAAATTACAATCTAAACGACATTTTTCACGAAGGTAAAGGGCACTTTGCTCCCAGAAAAAGGGCACTTTTTTGCCCCCCTCCCTGTTCCTACGCCCCTGGGCAATAGGGCATACCAATGTTAGGCATGAAAAAAGGGCACTTTCCTTTTAAAAAGGGCGCTTTTTCTTATCACTTTCGGAAAGTTTGGGGGGAAGTGCCCCCAGTACCCCCCCCCCTTCCTACGCCACTGACTATTTCAATGATGCCACGTATAGATATGTCGTCTTGACATCCACATTAATGAGAGTAATGAATAATAACATAATGTGAGATACAATCTTTGTTCGCGTTCGGTCAGAAATTAAATAGCTGGAATTAAATACCTTTGTTAGAAAATAACTGGGAAAGTCATGCCCTTTGTCATGATACAGTACATTCGAATATGAAAAAAGAGAGTTTTAACTCTGCTTTTCGATCTTAAGTGTCTTCAGAACAAATGGAGACACGAAGACATATAGTAATGTTGGTGGTGTTACTCTGAGTGTGCATCCACACCGGTGTCACAGGAAATTTGCAAATTTCCCCCCCCCACCCACCCACGAAAATTTGGGCCCCCGGGCCATATTCTTTTACGAATTTGGGAATTCGGCCCCCGCCCCGAAAATTTGGCCCCCCCGGGCCATATTTTTTACATATTTATTTTTTACGAAACTTTCGTACCACTCATTTCCAACACCGCGGAAAAACCTCTGCGCATGCACCAAATTATGAAAATATGGCGGGGAATTTGAATATCAATTTCTAAAACAAAAACATGCTTATTAATCGGTCAAAAAATAGTAAAACAAACGAGAAAATATAGCAAATGGGTAAACTAGACATTAATTGAAAGCGTCCTGGCATTTAAAGTGTGGAATGAAATATAATTCATGTAAAAAATTGTTGATTTTAACGGACACGACTTCGAAAATTTTTGCAAAATTATTCAAAACAAAAATTCAAACTAACTAGTTAAAGAAAACTCTCGAAAAGTTAAGCTTCTTAATCCACTCAAATTGTAGAATAAATCCTAAAGTTTAATTATTGTGAACCCGAAAATTTTTTATACTTGGCGACACAGTTTTTTTTAAAGAAATGTATCTCAAACGAAAATTCGGAAATTGTCGTTGCTTAGTTGATAAACAAAATGTTTAAGACGATTTGTATAAACATATATTTTTCAAAACGACGTTTACCCAAGAGCTATCAAGCTCATCGAGGGGCTTACGTCAAATGTCACCTTTAGTTCATGTTCTTGTAAAATACAATTTCTTGAACCTTCTGGCTGTATATATTTATTCCTAGTTTTTAGAATGACATGTTAATTTTTTTTCGCTCGATATCTGGCTGTAAAGACGCACAATGAAGTCACTCCTTTTTACCGCCATTTTGAGCCTTCGGAAACGTTCGGAACAGCTTCTCATCAAGTTCGCAATACTATTACAGGTAAGGTTGACGCATGCGCCGACGTTTTTCCCGCGGTGTTCTCATTTCCACTTAAAAGTCTACTTTTACCAACTTTTACCCTAATGCTAATTACTCCCTGTTATTTGTTAGACGCGTGTATATTAACATATTCGCCAACGCATGATGTCATCGTTTGCTAAAGTGCGGTTGTTATTTTGACTAATTTTATACTATGTGACTGAATTTATAGATCTAAAATACTAAATAACTTGTAATACCGTAGGAATTCCTATCCGTCTAAAAATCGTTTCGTGTCCTAACGTAAAGCTAAGCCATTATGCATTAACGTTGTCCTCAACAGATACGCATATGTGATATATGTCTGGCATGACTGCACTAGCACATTATTATTACGCTTTCCTTCAAACTTTTTGCTCTTGGCCGCAATGAAGAATTTCGACACAAATAAATTATGCAAACTAACTATAAATACTGACAAACACCTTTAGGATCTTGGTTTTAGAAGAAGCTTCACGATTTCCGAGCTTATAGCGATAAAGTAAAGTAAGTTTGGGGGGGGGGGGGAATTACCTGGGACACCGGGCACGCAAGTGCTGAAAAGCTTGTCTGACCACGGTGGGAATCGGACAACTCGCGACCTTTGGGATACTATTCCAATGCTCTATATACCACCCAAAGGTCACGGGTTTATACTATTGTTAACATTTAAATGACTAATGTAAACATTTTATTTTATTCGAGTTGAACGTAAGTGAAGTCATTGATCTTGTGGTGCTCATTACTCAATTAATTGGTCAAGAGAATAAGGAAATTATAAATTTGTTGGTATAATATGTTATTCAACCAGACTGTCATATTTTGAAATAAAAAGCACTTAATTGTTCAACTGATTAATTTATTATCTGTAAAGGACTGCATATTGGTTTTGCTATTGAATCATTTTTAAAGGCAGCTGTTTCATTTGAACCGCCTTGCTTTAGTTCCGTATCAGGGTTTCAGATTCATTGCAAAAGCAAAGAAATTAACCTTTCAAAACAGTTTTTATGTAAGAATCTGCAGAATGTAGAACACTCAAGTTATTTCTATAACCTAACCTCAGCATTGTCTTTATCCAAAAGGTGCCTATTTGACTAGAACTGCAAATTAACTTCTAGTGTTTATGAATCGAAATTACCTCAAACCTACAAGACTGTATATCAAGTGTTTTTGACTGTGTGACTCCCCTATATCTAGCGCACATGCAGTGAAGAACCTTGGATCCTGATTTGATGAACAGTTAAAGATGGATATAACTGACACATAAATAGTATCTGTAAGGCCACCTTTTTTCACCTATATAACATTTGAAGAATTAGGAAATTCCTTAGTTCCGATTGTACGCAGACTCTGGTAAATGCATATGTAAATATTCTCATAATTTTAAAATGTAAACCATGCATGTGATTGGTTTTCCTTTGTAATGCGCCTGTGAGCATCTTCCCATGTAACAGGCGCACTATAAGTTAGTAAATTATTAAGTGTATGTGACAAAATTCATCGATATAAACCAGATACCAAATAGCATTCTGCGATAAAACGGTGTCTATTTAAAATAATAATACTCAAAGCCAGCTATTATGACCGACAAATACAATTGCAATTAGCATTCTTCTGTATCGGTACGCATTTTGTTATACCTAATTCTCGAGAATCCGAGAATCATGTTGAATGCGCGAAGACCTTTACCTTACGCATTATCGTTTGAAATAAACTAAACTAAAAAGTCGTCTTTTGAAATACAACAGAATCCGCCATGCGTGTGAAAATTATTCTTTCATAAGTGGTTATTAAACACGCGAATAGAATATCCTTCCTATCATGCACGTACTCGCGAAAATATACCTGGATCTTGTTTTCTGTTGAAACGTATTTATGATATTAATTAACATTGCAAAAACAAAAACAGTAACTTCCAAAACAGTTTTTATGTAAGGGAACACTCTGCCTATTTCTATAACCTAACTTCATTGTCGTCATTCAAACGGTACTGCTTATATTTGACTACAACTCCAGATTAACTTTTAGCGATCATATACAAGACTATATGAGTCAAATTTCATCGAGATAACCCAAATATCAAATAGCATTCTACGTTAGGTAAAGTGAATTTTAGTCGGACTTACCGACGTCGATTATGACACGCTCTGAATGAAAATAATACTCAAAGCCAGCAATGACCAACACGACAAATACCATTGGAACCAGCATTCTTCTGTAGGTACACATTTTGTTATACCTAATTCCCGAGAATCCAAATATCATTTTGAAATGGCGAAATTGGCTTAAGGGTTATTGTTTGAAATTTTCCAATGAACGAACGAAATTGTTAGTAGAAAGCGGTCTTGGAACATATTGAAATATAACAGAATCCACCGTGCGTGCGAAAACATTCTTTCATAAGTAGTTAATTAAGGGCTGCATTTTAAATATGATGAAACATTCCTATAGGTGTATGGGCGAGGGTACTAATTCCGCTCGGCTATTTACACCCGGGGAAAGGAAAGCATTTGGCGAAGTTTTACCAGTGAATTTTTAACGCGGGCTCGGTGAAAAATCACATGTGTCGACAATTAATTTTACCTAGCACTGCACAGAATGCCTTGCGCGAACTTTGCGTCTCCAGTCACTGGCGGCTTGGTCCCACCTGTGTTTTTGCTGCCCCCCCTGACCAAAAATCCTGGCTACGCCTCTGAATAGTTCTAAACCATTATTAATCGAACTAACGGGACGAATTTCAATTCGAAGTCGTTTTAACTTTCAATTGGAACTTTCAGTGTGCACTTTGTGCAGTTTTAATATACTTGAACGATTCCAATAATTCTAAACTCCAAGACTCAAGAGATAATGAAATTTGGGCGTTTACAACAAAAGGTGATTTTTAAAGGGTCACTTTTTTTAGACATCCTGTAGAATATTCTGATATGCATATTCTAATTCCTCTTGTATCAGCTACATGTTCTTGTTCAACTGCAATTTATAGCAGAACACGTCATTTGGATGCGCGC